CGTTCCTAAAAACCTGGTCGGATCGTATGTGTATATATATGTATGTGTGTGTGGACCCATTTCCATTCCTTGGCCTCAGAGCTCATTACGATCTTCATCATCATCTCGGCCTCATCGTTGCTGGTCATCAGCATCGACAGATTGTGTCGGCTTCGCTTTGCATCTTTTGTTCATTTTAGTTTAAATATTGCCTGCCTCCACTCCCCTGCTCTCTTCTACCTTCCTCTCCCCTCCAGTTCCCTAAATGTCCAGCTCGTAGTTCTGTTTGTCCGCCGAAGAAGCAGAGTCGCCGGCTGCCAATAGTGCATAGCATTTCATGCACTTTTCATCTTTTTCAATCAATGTGCCTGGTGTGCACTCCACTCCACAGCCTCCACTTTGGCAGGGAGCATAGGAGGAACCTGGAGAGCTTGGGTCTGGGTCCAGGAGTCGGAATTGGTCGCCAGCCGGACAGCGAAGTCAGCCACCGAAGGAGCTGCTGGTTTCCTTCATGCGATAAACAGAGTATTTCGCTTTTCGAGGGCGCTAGTTGTGGGTTACACTGGATACACTTGGTGAAAATTATTTATATATTTACAAAAAATTGTTCGGAAAATCATTCTTCGTATATTACGCTAGTATTTAAACACTTAATATATTTTTATACCCTTGCAGGGTTTTATAATTTCAGTCAGAAGTTTGCAACGCAGTGAAGGAATCATTTCCGACCCCATAAACTATATATATTCTTGATCAGCATTAACATGCGAATCTTTCTAGACATGTCCGGAAGAAATCGATTTTTTGGCCATTTTTGCGAAATTTCATAAGGGGTTACATCATTAAAATGAGCAAAAATGGCCAAAAATCTTGATTTCTTAAAATTTTAAATTTGGTATGCGGTTTTTTTAAATTAATAAAAACTAACACAAAACTGCTTTCCGAATCGAAATTAATGCATTTTTGGCTTAGTTATGATGTAATTTAATTGTTACCTGCAAGGGTATACAAACTTTGGCTGGCCAAAGTTAGCTTTCTTTCCTGTTAAAATTAAAAAATAAATAATAGATATGATTTATCATCTAAGAAAATATGTAGGTAAAATAATATTAGTTCAGAGAAATATTATTATATTATATATTATTCCTTATTAATGAATTTCTCTCAGTGCTTTTATGATTTCTTATTTAAGCGTTGTGTGTGTTTTCTTGGTCTTTTTTCGTGTTTTACCTTTTCCTACCGTTTATTTTAGTTGCTTAATATATTTTTGTTAAATGTTTCTCGAGTGCCTTTAAATTAATCTCAAAGTTAATTGCTTTTCATATTTTTTTACCCATCTTTAGGGGCTATAAATAACTGTGCACTATTTTTAGAAGCAGTTGTTAGTTAAAACTGTCATTGTTGAAGCGAAAATATTTATTTACGGGTATATGGAGTATTTTAACTGTATGATCACATCATCTACGACTGGCTTTAACCTCCTTACCAAACCAAAAATAACTGCTGTCCTCTTAGGCCAATTTATGCACAAGTGTTTTGTGGTTCAGCGGAAATGCTAAGCAAAATTTACTGTCCAACCAAAAAAATAAGAAAAAAGGAGAAATCCCCCAGCGCTATGGTTAAAAGTGAGGCAAGACCCAGTCCCCAGACCCCAAGTATCTCCTATCCCCAAGATCGCCACAGTCCAGAGCGATCCGTCGATCGCGGCGCGCGCACGATAACAAGATTAGAAAATAAGATTTATCTCATAGATTGATAGATTCGATTACACGCAGCGTAGCGGCGACTGCGACGGCGTCTTGGACTCCGACTCCGACTGGGACTTGGTCTTGGTCTTGGACTTAAGGCAGCAGCTTCACCGGCGACTGGGCGGGCGTGTAATTACAACAAAAGCAACAGCCGAACGAACAGCTAACAGCGAGCAGAGCGAGCAAGAACAAAACGAGCTAAGCCACACGGACCACGGACGTTGCACAGTGGGTTGAGGTGGGCGAAAACTTTAATAAAAATTGGTTACAATGTAAGCAAGATTTTTTAAGAACATGAAAAGTAGGTATCGTTTTTTTTTTATAACAAATTTGAGAAATACTAAAGTAAAGCCATATTAATTTAATCATATTCAGACATAATTTTAAATAAAAATATTCATAATAAAATTTAATAATAAATATACCATATTTTAAGTATAAATATTAAAAATAAAATTCATCAACTTCCTAATTATTTATTTAACAATATTTATATATATTTTAAGTACAAATATTAACATTTGTACTTACAAATATTACATTTTTTAAGAACCCTTGCACCACTGTGCCATCTCAGACTCCGGGCAAACTCTTTTTCTCCCTGGCGTTTTAATGGACTTTTAACTGGTTTTTGGAGCCTGCCATGCCTGAGTCAGAAGCCTGGCCACAGCCTGAGCCCCGGCCAGACCCAAGAGCCAGCTCCAGCTTCGATACAGCTGCACCTGCAACAACTGCGGGGCTGGTTCCAAGATCTGGGATCTGGGATCTCGCCTCTCTAGCCGGGCGTTGCATATTTACTAATTTAATAATTCAAAAGCATTTAAATTCCTAATCATATCCAGCAAAGCGGCCGCCGCCTGCGTCTGGATTAGCCGACCTGGGTACAGCCTCATCCTCGTCCTCATCCTCAAACCGAAACTCATCCTCCAGCAATGCGAAATGAATCGCCCGGCGCAATTTGTGAAAATTTCTCACCATTTTCATGGGCACCAGGCACTCTCAAAGGGGGGAAAAGTTGAGGTGTGTGCGGTGTGTGGGGTGTGTTAGATTTCCACTTTACTGTCTATGCAATTTGTTGGCTAACTAGATGGCTATCTTGGCCCGGTGCTGCTTGTTCTTGGCCCGATCGGATCCAACTTCTGCTCTTCTCTTTACCTCGAGAAGAATCTCTGGTTCTTTTGGGCCATTACTACCTGTATTTTATGCATCGCATGGCGTTAGTGTTTTGCGTCTTATTAGACTCTAATTGCACTGATAGTTGGCTGCACTTCGGGTTCGGTTTTTTACTTTTTGTGGCAATGAATGGGAATTTTTTCGGTTATGAGGCCCTGATCATGGATCAAAAGGGTTTTAGCCGGGAACCGACTTAAGCTGGCAACCCACAATTATGGTTGAAACAAGCCGCTAGTTGGCCTAGTTGAGAGAAACCAATTAAGAGTAAATAGTTTTTAGGGGAATACACTTCTTTTAAAGAGCAAAAAGTAAGTGAAGCTAAAGAATAACTGAAGTTTATAACTCAGAATATAGTTACATTAAATATTACTATATATATCTTTATTAAGAATATATCTTATAGAACGATTCATTTATTTAGCCACTTAAACAACAAAAATATAATTTGAATCCTTGTTTTTATGTCCAGCCATAATCCTTGATTACTCTTACCCCACTAACCCACTAAAAATGTTCTGTGTTATGAACAATCCACTTAAAACCACTCCAATTGGCTTTGGTCCAACCAGCGCCAGTTGGTCTGCCTCTCTTCCTGCCAGGACTCGGAATTAAAGCCACTATATTTTTTTTTTTTTTTTGGTAGGTGGATGCACGTAGCCTCCTCTTTTTTATACCCTTGCAGGGTATTATAATTTTAGTCATAAGTGTGTTACATAGTGAAGGAGTCATTTCCGACCCTATAAATCATATATATTCTTGATCAGCACAAAGAGCAGAGTCAATCTAGCCATGTTTAGGAGTAAACAAATTAAAAAATTTTTTTTTTAATTTGTGAGGTCCTAAAATTGTTGTTATTGTCAAATAAAAATTGGAAAAAATTTGAATTTTTTTAAATTTGAAATTTAGTATGTAGTTTTGTTACTCTAGAAAAAACTAGCACAGAAAAGCTTTCCGAATTGAATTTGATGCTTTTTTGGCTTAGATATGATTTTTTTTATAAAAAAAATTACCATTTAAAATATAAAAATATTCATTTAAAGAGTGTGAATATTTTAGATCTTCTTGAGGAGTTTTATGATTTTAGTCAGCGAAGGAGTCGTTTCCGACCCTATAAATCATATATATTCTTGATCAGCACAAAGAGCAGAGCCAATCTAGCCATGTTTAGGAGAAAACAAATTTAAAAATTTTTTTTTTTATTTTTTGAGGTCCTAAAATTGTTGAAGTTGTCAAATAAAAATTGGAAAAAATTTCAATTTTTTTACATTTAAAATTTAGTATGCAGTTTTGTTACCCTTGAAAAAACTAGCACAGAAAAGCTTTCCGAATTGAATTTGATGCTTTTTTGGCTTAGTTATGATCGTTTTTTGATTGCATGACAGATCCTATGGCAAACAGCAAGGGTATACAAATTTCGGCTTCCCGAAGTTAGTTTCCTTTCTTGTTTTATTATGGCGTCAGCGTTTCTACAGGCAAATGTCTTACGCAATGCATCATTGACGCCGTAAGGCTCTCAGAACAACAACGTCACAGTTATGGATATATAATAGATATATAGTCATAGTCTCAGCCAAGGCTGGCGTCACTCTGCCTGTTTTATGCATTATGTAGTCACAAAATGTTTGAGGTCAACTTGAGGCGCCATCAAATATTCAATAATGCTCGCATCGTTTTATTAGTTTTAGCCAAGGAGTCAACCCCCTCGATGCCTTACCATTTTCCACATTTTCCACATATTTCTATTTTTAGCTTGGGGCCAAAACGCGAGCGCCCAGCCATAATTGGGCCTATATAATTCTGCGTGGGAGAGCTGAACTTGAAAGGGAATTTAGTTTAAGAACTGAAGGTTAAAGAGGCCAGAACAAGTTGGTAGTAATGTGAGTTAGTAAATACTCTTATGGAAATTGTTTGGAGTTTATATTTGTAAAAAATTGGTGTATAGATATTATAAATTATAAGGAAGCTAGAGAAAGTAGGGCTTATCTGAGTACTACCTTAGAAATTAAATAAAGGTGCTAAAAACTTATTTATTTCTTGCTTATTTCGCCAACAGAGAGACTCCTCAACTGGCTACTCTAATACTTTATTATTTATTAATTATTATTTTCAGAGAATTAATAAAAAAATTTCAAAAACGGAAAGTAGAGTATATCTTTCGACTTTGAAATAATCTTAAAAAAATGCCTCATCGCTGGAGGACGTCTCATTGGCGGCAGCTTCTGCCCCGGCAGCGCGTGCTATTTCGGTCAGCACGGGGGGATTGATAAGGTGCAGGCCCCTGGTGTCCTTGCCCACAATGCCCATCTCGAAGAGAAAGTCCCTGTTCTGCCAGTCATAGTGGCCCTTGTAAATGATTTCGGCAGCAGCCTTCACCAGCTCCTCCGTTCCCATGCCCGAGAGATTCTCCAGCTTATCGAACTCCTGGTCGGCCTGCGGCTTAGCCCTGCCGCAGGCGCAGGCGTAGTAGCCAAGGAACGAGCCGCACGGCTCGATCTTGTACAGCTCCGGACCTTCACTTGCCTCCCATGAGGCCAGGATGACGGAGAGACCAAAGGGACGGTTGAGGCCGTTCAGGGTGGCGGCGTGCATGTAGCTGGCGATGCGCTCGCAAAGATCCCTAAGCGGAATGACGCGGTTGTAGTTCATCCGGAAGTTGGCGGCTTCCTGGCGGGCAATATCCGCCACGGCATGGCCATCGGACGTCAGGCCTGCCATGGCCATGCCAATGTTCCTCTCTAGGCTAACGATGCGTCCGTCGGCGTCCGGCTCGTACAGCGAGCTCATGATGATCTTGTCCACGGCCAGCACCACGGAGTCCTTGCCCCGCATACCGATTATGGTGAAGCTATTGGCCACAGCCAAGGTGGCGTATTCGACCTGCAGGACCCTGCCCTCCGGCGAGTAGCTCGTGATCGGTGTATCGTATCCGGGCCCCGTTATGACGCTTTTGTTCATGATGATAATTTATATTCAAAAGAGGGAAATTAGTGGATAGAATTTACCAGGCCTCCTTTATTTGGCTTGGAAAGCTGGGAATTATACGATTTCCCAATTAATCGAAAGTTGGTTTTCAATGGGTTCCGTACTCAGTTCTATGAGTTCTTCATTTCATCAAGAACTTTTTTTAATTCCAAATATTTTCTTACCCGAAACTAAACAATAGTAAACCATTATATCCTTTTTATTATATTTTCATTTGAACTCAGCTATACCTTAATTTAGGGTATAAAGATGACACAACTTTGTCGCCAGCTGACAGATTTATTTCGATGCCAACCCCCTCGTTTCTCGTCTGACTGCTAAAAATACAACTTTTGTCCAGGGATAAACTTATTTCTGTTCTGCCACATTCATTCACAGAATTTCGGCAACTTTTTCTTTTTTTTTTTTTTGCTTTTGCGTAGGCGACGCGGTGTCTGGCAGACGAGGCAGGAATTGAGGTCGCCTTTGGTGGGTGGACAAAGGACTTCCAGACTCCCTACTCCCTTACAGATGCTATGGGAGTGAGCTGGTAGATAAATATCACTGAAAACATTGGCTCCTGGCCCTGTGTGTCACGTTTCAATAAACTTTGATTGCCGGCAATTATCTGGTTGCTGGCATCATCCTGGCATTTCTTCGCTTATCCCTTTTGGCATTGTATTATTTATGAGGCCTTCATGATTTGGGTCCCTGGCTGGATTTGCTTTCAATTACTGGTGGTGTACCCGCAGCCAATTTGCTGCCCAAAAAGTTTGCACATCAGGCGAAATATGTGGGGAATTTTTTTTTGGGAGCCTAATTGAATTATTTTAAAGGGGACAAAAGGATATCAACTTCAACTAGAGAGGGTAAGTAGAACTTTAAGGAATTCTCTGAAATATATATCGTATCTAGAATGGCATATCTGCTTTTGGAGAACTTATATCATCATCACCAGTGTGTTTGCAGAGCGTTTTCAGTTGTCGCAGTTCCAAGTACTATATAGTTATGGCACAACTTTGTTAAACCCTTGGAATTACTTAATAGATTAGTGTGGGGACTTACGTTTCATTAACTGATATTTACCGTTTTGTTTTCGAGGAGCACAAGCAAAACAATGCGATTAATTGTTAACTCATATCAGTTCAACTTATTAGGCAATGATAATTAATCGATTGTTGATGTTACAACATTGTGATCAGTAATTTAATGGTAGCTATATCGATCAATGAACTGGAATAAATAAATATAAGACATTATATTGAGGAGAAAACTAGATAAACTTGGATATTTTATTTATAAATTATTATAAATATTTTTTATTAACATATTTATTAAATTTCCTGAACTTAATTAAGTTTTAGAACTTAATCAATTACAATATCAACCTTAAACAATTTTATGAAATATCTGAAACCCTTCTTAGCCCTCTTAAATTTCCCGAAAAAGTTCATTGACCTTTTGAAATAACTTTTCCAAAATAAAAATACAGCCACATAGCTAGGTGCTCTTTACACCTTATTTTAAGCTCTGCTTCGGCAAACACCCACAGTTTTCCCCACAATTTTCTCAGCAGTTTTACCCACATTTTCCTCCTCCCACTTTGGAAAAGAGGAAATGCGACGCGGCAGACATGTCTGCTATTTTGTATGCAAAAAGAAGGACAAAATAGTCATAACGGAAGCCAGAACTTGATTAAAATTTCATGGCGACGCATTTGCCTGAGGAAAAACTCAGGGAAAACCCAAAGCCAAAAGACGTTGCAAAAATGTCTGTAAATAGGAACGGGGAAAAACATTTTAGCTGGCAACATTTGTGGCGAAAAACACTAAGAGTTGCATGTGCTGCACAAAAAGTTGCTGAAAACTTCATTGAATTATGGCACCCCAGAGAGAAAACCCCCAGCACAGACTCTTTGAAAAGAAAGGGAAATTGCAGCCCGCAGAACATTTCCCTAAGCTCCTTAAAGTGAAAATGTTAATGCGAGCGTAAAGAAAAATCATTGTGTGTGAAAATTTAACAAGGGTGTGTGAATAAATTTTCATTTCCAATTCAAGTGGGTGGAATTTTCTGTTTTAACAAAGGAAAGAAAACCTGGTCTTGACAGTTATGTGTGTGTTGTGATTTGATAAACTCCACAGATTTCCTTGAAGTTGTACGCTTATCATTGACTTGCTTTGGGCTGGAAAGGGGATTTTAGATTGCTGTTTAAGTTAGTCTTCAAACAATTTGTAAAAGTTGTGAGATAAATCATTTATCAGTCACCTTTTTACCCCACATAAAAGCAAAGTTTTCCAAAAGGAAAACTCCAGAAAACTCGCATTGTTATCTCTGAGATAGTGAAAGTAGCTTAAGGATAACTTTTAGTTGGTGAAGTGAAAAGTTTTCCTGCTGGTTTGTGGCCCAAACTCCCTCACCTTTTCTATTTTTCCTATTTTCCTGTTTCACATGTCAAAATCACAAATGTCACTTAATCCTGGCGCAGTCAATAAGCCAGGACACCTTTTCATAAACTGACATAAATTTCATATGAATTATGACACAAGGGAAAGGGGAACACACACGACGATATATCCTTATATCCTTTTGTGACAAATGAAACTGAAACCCAAGCATTGGCAACTGCAGCACGTGACTGCGATTTCCGAATTCCCAATTCTGTTTGCCTAAACTGACAGCTCCACAAAAAAAAATAAATAAATAAAAAATACAAAAATCCAGGAATAAGAAAATCTAAAAATATGATATATGAAATATGGCATTTATGCTCTCCAAGCGAAAGTCACGTGCGTTTGACAGACAAATCGAAAGTGCCATTGCATTCGACAATTGTCTAATTGCCAGTCATTTATTTTCCTTTATTGGCAACGCGCACTTGTCAATGGCCGAAACGTGTCAGGCGCTAAGGATCCAATTAGTTGAATGGCTCTAGACGTGGCTGGGACTCTGCCAGGAAATCAATAAGCGAAGTTTTTTCTTACTTTTTCGGTGTTATGAAGTACGAGTTGCGAGACACTTGTCCCGAGGGCGTGCTTCAGTCTGTAAATACTCGGGCTTAATGGCAGCAACTTCAGCAAGTGAACTCTAAGCTTAAATTTAGAATACTTGGGGAGATATTTTTAGGGATAAAGTTAAAGTTTAAGTTAAGTTTTTAAAATCTGTAATTAATACTTTTAGTGCAAATAATATTCCCAGAATGACAATGCATCAAAAAAAAAACCCACTATAAATGCAAATTCGTGGAATCAATTAAGTTTTAATAGCTTATCGAATAATTTATTTGGAAAATGTATTATGAAAATCGCCATGAAACTTACACAAAATCTAGCCCGTGCCAGGAATAAGGCAGCCCAGACATTTACCCGTTGAATATTCACCCGATTTCTACGCCTTCCCCATCTTAATTGTCCATAGTCTCAAGTGGTATCACAATGCCGGCGATAAGGCCGTGCATCCAGGTCCAAAAAAACAAAACACACATACAAAACCAGAGCCAGTTGTTGACTAAATGTTTTTGGCGTCCGTTAGTGCAAGATCTAGAAGAGGAAGATGTTGGGTTTTTGAGATGAACACTGAGAATAAATACTTGAAAAAAATTCAATTCAAAGACCTTTTTTAAATATGTATATTTTTTTTGTATATATATTTTAATCATTGGTATTATGACTTTTAAAATATTGTTGTCAGACCTTAAAAAGTATCTGGATTTTTAAAATCCCTTCAAAACTGTCTGAAAGAATCATATTATTAATTACATTATTATTTAAAGAAATATTTCTTTGAATATTCTATAGATTTCCCCTTTAATAATGTTTTTTATTATATATTTATTTTTTTCTCTGTAACGAACCACATTTTCTCAGTCGATTGGCAGGTAATGCGTTTAAAATGAACTTCAAACGGCGCCTTGAGATAAAGAATAAATGTTCTCCCTTCACTCGTCCTCTCTTTGTCTCTCTGGTTTTCTCTAAGATATGTAAATATAGTTTCATTGATGATTTTTAGTTGGAAATGCGGGCCATTATTTTGATTTTTGGGTGACTCATCCCAAAGTTGAATCATTGGATTTACCCAGAAAAATGCAGAAAGAACAGCAGCCGCAGCTGCACTGCAATTAAAAGCACCGCACACGCCCCCTCAAAAATACATATAAATAATAATAAAGGCAGATCAATTGGGAAAGCGTGCTATTTTGGACCCGTGCCAAGGATATATACAGCACCAGCTGGTTTTCCTGCAACAATGCCACACAAATTAGAGCCGGAGACAATGCAGGGAAAGAGGGAAAACTGCATTAAGGCGGCAAATTGCGGTAAAGGCCGGCGAAGGGAAAGGTGAAAGTGTGCCAGGGTGCGTGTGCAAACCAGGTAAAAGGACACACGACAATAAATTATGACCCAAAAAAAATTGCATGCCAAATTATGAAGGCGGAAAGCCATTTCGCCACGCCCCCGATTTTCAGTTGCTATTTAAAATTGATTTAAATTCACCTTGGCCTTAGGAGAAATTATTTGCTAATGGGGTCCGGCCGTATGCCATAATAAATCTCTGCCACCTTTTCCGCATTTTCACTGGAATTTTCCAGGCTGCAGACCGGACAAGAGAAAGTTGCATACTTATGGGGCACTTTGCATGTACAATTTTCCTGTGATTTAGTGGCAATTTCCCCCAGTGGCAACCTTGGGAAACCAAGAATCTGCCAAGAGCCATAAAATGGGTCTCATTAGGAATTCTTTTCAGTTGAGGTGAAGGTTTGGGAGAGAATTTAAATTAAATACAATGCAATGACTTTTTATTGGTAGAATATAAAATTCTAGATAAATTATCATCACTTTTAAAGTTGTTTTTAAACCATATATATTTTTTATACACAACAGATTTTAATACAAAATACGAGGAGAACTCTAAGTAAGCAAACTTCATTAAATTTTAATGAAATTATATTTTTAATTACATTAAAAAAACCTCTGTACTATAAACTGTTGTTTAATATCAAAAAAATATCCTCTAAAAACAATATTTTAAGATTTATC